TAGAAGATGGAAAAAACCAAATAAATATTTACATCCTAGTGTCTACTATGCTAAAAAATATGTCAAAGGATTTAGTAAAGAGAGATAAATCATACTTGTTATTGATTTACATGGTCATTCAAGAAAGTAATATAAAATATCTATTAAAATTAAAGATAATCTTCTTTTGTTTATGGATGTGCTTATTCTTCTTAAGTTAAAACTATTGAAAGAGTATTTGCTTTATTAATGGCTAAATTAAATCCATTTATGGATTATCCTTCATGTACATTTAGAATAGAGAATGCAAAAGATAAAACAGCTAGAATTTAACTTTGGAGAGAATTAAAAATCAATTGGGTTTATACTTATGAATGTAGTTTTTATGGATAATAACAAAAACATTATTAGATTAAAGATTATCTAAATTGTGGTGTAAGTATATGTAATGCTTTATCATAAATTGTTAAAGATACATCAAAAGAATTCACAAATTAAGCTAATGTTCCAGATATTTAATAATAAATACTTGAAGAATTAGGTAAGATGCCATAAACTGATGATTAAGATAATGGATCAGATTCTAGTTAATCTGAAGCTGAATTATCAGATGATGAATTAGTTCAATTATTTTAACCCAAGACTTATTCAACCAAACAAAAAAATTTCTTAAAATAATAAGAATTTAATAACAAAAAGAAACCTTAACCTGTTAATACAAAACCGACAATAAACACTTAAAAAACTTCTATTTTATAAGAGTCACCTTCTAAGAATTCAGACTAAAAACCTCCTATGAGTAGTTAGAAACCTAAGAATACTTAATATAGAATATAAGCACCATAAAGATTAAAATAGATTGAATAAACTAAAATACCTGATCCTCCACTTATGGTTGATAAATCAGTATAAACTGATGATTGGATGTATAGATAATGGCTAATATAAATTGGAAAGATGAAAAAATAGTAAGAATATTAAAGTTGTACTCCAACAAGAAATATATATAAATCATCATCATAATCAGTAACTAGATTTATTGTTAAAAATAATTCAACAAAAAATGATAGAGGTCGTATTGATTCAATTTCACTTGTAACACCAGGGTTATAAAATAAATTAAGTAAATATTAATTAACAAATAAGTTTCCTCTAGTCAATAGCGGTAAATGATGAGATACTCTGGCAGTAATTTTATGTCTTGATATTTATTATTATATTTTGTTCATCTCACAGTTTAATTAATTAAATTTTTGGATATCTAAATTAAATTCTTATATCATATTAATATGTTGAATATTATGAAAATTTATTTAAAATAATGAATCTAAATAATATTATAAATTAATCTCTAATTTCAATGTTATAAACTATCAAAGAAAGTAGTATTTATTTATTATTTTTAAAAATAATATCAAAAAAAATAATAATAATTTAATATTATATTAGTCAAATGAATTTTATATAATAATTTAAAATTACTCTATATTGATCATATTAATATTTTATTTTATAATTTTTATATTTACTTCTGTTAGAAATATACTTCAAACAGAAAAATTAAATGCAAGTTAATTTAAATAATTTCTAAATAAATTCTAAATTTCCAAAATAGTACTAATCTCATATAATTGTTTAATTATAATTATTATTCTGTTAACCATGTTTATTTAAATAGTATCCTATTTATAGTGATAAGTTTAATAATTATAATAATATAATGCGCAAAGTAATTCTCAAAACAAAAATTTATAGTTGTATCCTAATTATACTTTCAGGAACAGTTGCTGTTATAGCTTGTATATTAGCTGCTTAAGTGGATGATTAAGAAGTAAAAATTTATGGAACTCTTTATACAATAGCTGCATTAATATTTATGTAAATTAACTTATATATATTCTACTAATTACATACTATTAATCTGATCAATGCAGAAATCAATAATTTCAATTGCTTATCTTCTTGGAAAGTACTTCACAAATCTATTTTAAATAATTCAGATTTATGGTTTTCAAAATATCTATTAAAATGCCTAATTGTTATTATTTTTCATAGTACTCTTAGTTTCATAACAAGATTGAAATATAGTAATGTTGCTTTTGAGTTCGATTAAAGTATTTAATAAATAAATTAGATATGTCTATTTCTATTGTACTTTTTGTTATAAGCTTTATATTTGGTTTCGTAGTTTAAATACACTTTGTGATATAGTTGATAACAATGTTGGCTGATTTTAAAGAGTATGCTAAAGAAATAGTCTTTAGTTTTCACATAAAAGAATCACTTTAGGAAGAGAAAATATATAAAAGAGCAATTACATCTATGGCAATAATCTTTGTACTTGTTTCAATTGCTTATTATACATTAAAATTAGTTTTGTATATAATGATAATCAAGAATAGTGAAGAAACTAATACTAAAGTATTTTCAATCATTGTTTCTATCCTAAATGTTAGTTGCATAATATTATGTACTAGAATATATAAATAACTTAAAATCATTTATAAACAAATACCAGATACTTAAGATATGATAATCTATAGTATAAATATCCCATGTTTTACAGGATGGTTCATTTTAGTTAGATCATTAGTATTTTGTAAGAAATTCAGATTTTGGAGAAATTTAACGTTTGTTTTATTGTATATCTAAACTATTTATGGATTAATTAAATTTCCTTTTTATTAGATATATGATGTTACAATATATAAAATGTACAGTCTTGAATCTTATTTATATTGTGATACAGCTATATTAGTGGGTTTAATGTTTTGGTAATTCATTGAGTAGTTTGCTAGAGTTATTCATTAAGTTAAGAGAAGATATCTTGCATATTAATTTGAAGATCATAGAGTATTTAATTTAATTAATTATAGTAAAATATAATCCTTCCTATTGAAATTTAAGGACAATCAGATGAATTTGGAAGAATATAATAATAACAAATCATAGATAATTTAGTAGAAAATGCATAAGAAGAATATGGAGAATGTTGTTTTTGTTTAGAAAAGATTTCAAAAGGTTAAAGAGTTCATAAATTAAAATGTCATGCTTCTCATGTTTTTCATTATTATTGTATGTCAAAATGGTTAGCTAATCATAATAATTGTCCTTTATGTTAATAAACTATCAATTGAAATATTGTTATTTTTGATTTTTATTAAATTATATGTATATAATTGATATTTTCAATAAAATAATAATATTCAAATTGGATAATTTTAATTATTATAATAATAAATATTAATTTATTCAATAATATGTATATAAATATATCATTAAGCTATTTCCAAATAAGATTTAAATAAAAAGTACATATCTAGGAAAAGGAATATATTTTTGATAAGGAATAAAAATAAATTAAAAGCAACTAAAAAATAAAAAGTAAAATCTCAATGTTTTAAGAGATACATTTATGCAATATTCATGAAGCAAAGCTGTAACCAAATATGTTAAAATGAGAGCCTTTTTATTGTTTCCATTTTTGCTTACACTTTAATAGATATTTATTTTAAGGAATTCATGAACTTATTTATTCCATCTTCTATTTAATTATCCAAAACCATCAGCATTCCACCAATCTTCATAAAAAATAATATTTTCAACTTTTGTGATTTCTTTGAATAAACCCAAAAGATAATCAAAAATTAGATAATGATTAACAACAATCAAAATACCTAATCTAAATGAATAATTTGTGATAAATTTATAAAAGTCATCATGTATATAATTAGGACTTATTTCATACTTAATATAATATAAGTCCCATAATATTATTAATATGGAATTTATGATGTATTTGAATATTTAAATAATGTTTCTTTGTTTTTTGAATACCATTTTATTAGGTTTACAAATAAGACATGGTATCCATAAATATTCATTATAATGAATTAAGTTTAATTTTTCATTGCTTATTATATATGAATACATTTTCATGCTAAATATATATTATAAAATCATTACCTGAAAATACAAGCTATACAAGTAGAAAATATTCCTTCTATTATAGTTGTTTTTATTAATGCACTAATAATTAAAGGGGATAACATAATTAGATATGAAATAATCTTCTTTCTAATAAAGAAATGAAGTAATAAAGATATCAAATAATAAAGAGGCCATAATAGTAGTATTGTTATATCAGGTTTTGGGAATGGATAATTATAAACTTAATAAAGTAGGTGATATATCCAAATAATTAAAATAAAATCAAACATTATATTAAATATTATTTCCGCGAAGCAATTTTTCTGTTTCTACTCTCAATTTTTCAGTTTTCTTTTCAAAATTATCTAAATATTATAAAAATTGCATTGTGTCTTTTTATTAGTCTTCATTTTCCTCTGTTTTCTCATCTATCTATTCAAGTATATAAGGTTGATTAAGCTCTTGAAGATAGGCAAAGAATTAATCTTGTTATTCTTTTAACAATATTGCCTAATTTAAAAATTAAATTTGAATTATACTTCTTGATCAGTCCTTCTTTCTAAATATTATCTACAATCTATAAGTAATTTTAACATTTTTTCTTATAAATTTGGACATTCTGCTGATTATTATTATGGTTGTTATTATTCAAAATAGGGTGTGTCTTTTTTAGAAGTTTAAGGACGTGTATTTTCTTTCTAATCACTCAAAACAAGATATCTATTTAATTTAGGTAATGGACCTTCAGGAGGTCTTTTGTCAAAAGGTTCTGAAAGTGTTCCCTTTAATACTTAATTTAATAAGATGCGTGCATATAAATTTCGATTCTTTTTCCAAACTTCATTTGTAGTCACTTAACATAATTTCTTAGTCCAAGCTTCAACTCTAATTTTTTAATGTTTATTCAAATTTTAATATGCTTCCTCTATAGAAAGCATAACTTTTATAAATTCCTCATCCATAATGTCTGTTAATATATTTTATAATATTCAATATCATTCCAAATTTAATAAATATATTCAGAAAAATATTCAAATAATTCTAATTTAAGATGCTATTTAACATCAATTTTATATATTATGTTATTAATAATTCAACTATGATCAGTGACTAAGAAACTTGTATTGCCAAAATCTTCTTTCAAAGGATTATAACCAGATTTAGTTGTTGTCCAAGAACTTTAAGAAAACTAATCAGCAAATTAATATGCCTTAAATATTTGAGAATCCATCCCTAAAATTTATTTTACCATATATTAAACAAAATTGAAATCTGTTGGAAAAAAGATATCAGCAGCTCCTCTTTCTACTAAATAAGATTCATAATCTATTCTTTCATGTGGTTTAGCTAATTTCTTAGATACTATGGGAGCATTAATAGATTCTTATGTAAAATTATTTTTTAGTAAATCGAAATCAGCTATTACTAAAGAAGGATTTTAAAAATTAGATTTGATGTGTTTCAATACTTATAATGCTCCCGTAGGTAAAAATATGCTATTAGACTCTAAATTATTTTGTATATTACTTTCTAATTTCCATAATATTTACTAATCAATTTTCTTAATGTATTAAATAGAAATCTATCTTCAATATTTTAATCCTCATTTTTCTATTGCTGTTTAAATTACTAATACATAACATATGTCTCTTAAATCAATTGATCTGTGATTGTCTCTGTAAATTCTTTCATGTTTTCAACATAAACTTATTTTCCATCAATTACTTTGTCATGAGCTAGATTATCAAAAACCTCAAGAAATACAAAAAACCACATTTCATTTTTTTACGAATTCTATTTGTAACTCAAAAAGTCTTAATTAAAAATTTTTAAGGTTCCTTTTTTTATTTACTATTTAAAATCTTGAGACAATCTTTTTTCTGCTTATTAACATGCTTCTGGAGAAATATCAACTAAATGATATTCCATATTTGAAAATATTTGAGGTTAGTGATTTCTCATATAATATAATACACCTTCACATGCTGCACCATATCCAGCACCTATTTCAACAATTCTTAATTTTTCTTTGCGTGTAAATCGAAATTATTAATTTATATAATTCCCCAATGTTATACCATAATATGGTCTAAATACTTCAGAAGGAGTCAACCATTAATTTTCAGGATAGTTTTCTGCTAATTTTTTTGTATAATCTTCATAACCCAACAATTATTTAAATTCAATTGGTTTTTTGAGTGCTCCAAGTTAAATATTCTTTACAAAATATCCCTCAACTGGATGATAAAGACGATCATATATAAAATCTCTGACTAACATTCTCTTCATTTGATTAAATATATTTATTTACTATAAATAATTAAATTTATAAAAATGTAATTCATTTTCTCTTTGCAAATTCTTCCAAAGCTTCCCGTCTTGTAACAGGATTTTCTCTGTCATAATCTGTATTGAAATACTCCTCAGCTTCATCATAAGTTTGAACCTCATCTTTCTATTCTAATGGAAATAGAACATTCGAGATTTCTTCCATTGGGAGAAGATTATAAACTACTCCAATTATTATAATAATAAAATCTTACCATTTTACCTCTCCAAATATAATACTAGAGACTACTGTGTTACCAATACCAGTAAATATGATAATTAATTCTAACATTTCAATCATTTCAATTGATAAATGTTTAGATAGAGATTCTTTAATAGTTCTTCTACGAAGTACATTATATTTATCGACAAAATAATATAATGTCAATCCCATAATACTGAATAAAATTCCAACTGGAATAATATCTCCATAAAAGAAGGTGAACCACATAGTTTTCATAATGTCACCATATCTTTTAGCTTAAGAATAATCAGGCATCTCCATAATTTCATTTGCTTCTTATTAAGTAAGTACACAATTCTTAGCATTTTTTTATTATTTTTATCTTTGATAATCTTTTTAAATACTCCAAGGATCAACAAACCAAACTATTGGTGGAATAAATGCATTTAATAAAAATACATTAGATTCATTATAAATAAATCCACCTTTACCTATTACATTACCAGTTAAATAAAAATCTATTACTAATGATATCAAAGCAGTATTTATAAATAATGCTACTGATTATTTTCTTGCAAAACTAATATTGAATTTAGTTTTATTTGATATTTTTTCTAAATCAACTATTAAATGATACACTTTTCCAATAACAAATTTATTAAAAAATACTACAGTCCATGAAATAGATTAACTAGTTAAGAAAGCTATAGTTTAAGTTAATGAATCTTTAATTCCTTTCTTTTCTTATTCTTCAACTTATTCATTCATTCTTTCAGCTAATTCACTTAAAAACCAGATTAAAAAGAAACAACCAGTCATAAAACTTATAGAAATAGACCAAGCTATAATACGTGCTTTGACTTTTTATCCTGTTTAGATATGTATAAATTCCCAATCTACATCATTAGGTTCTGGAGCTTCTTCAACATATAATTTATGTTCATTTAATATTAAACCCTTTTCTTTAATATCAGCTGTTTTTCCTTAATTAAAAAATGCTTTCATTCTTTCCCATGTTGTATGAGAATTATGTTATAATACCATTTATTTCATTTCTTCAGTTTAAAAACTTATGAAAGCAATACCTGCAAATTTATCTCTATTTACAAATAATTCATGTTCAACTTAATGAATTTTATGTTCTAATGATTCTAATTTTTCATCTAATTATTTAACTTTAAAATCTGCAAAATTCATACCATTTTCAACTAAATATTCTTATTTTTCTCTTACTAATTCTTTAAGTGATTCTTCTAATTCTATTACTTCATCTAAATTATAAACCAATACTATTTTCATGACTTTTAATTCTCTACCATCTGCTGCATAATTTTAAAATATATTCTTTAGTACTTCTCGATAATCTTCATCCAATTTTGGTATATTTTTTACACAAATTGTATAATCAGATGGTGTCAATTAAGATTCATCTACTTCAATATCAATACTTCTTTAAGCTTTCCTAAAAAATAAAAATGAAACCATGTTTGCTAATACTACAACTAATGATAAATTGGATTACCAATCTCTAATATCCTGTCTATCATATACATTTGCTAAACTAACAAAATGCCACATGGATCCTCCACAAATTGAATTATCTTTCTTATGTAAATGATGTTCCAAATTTAATTTAGAATTTTCAAAATGTTAGAAATGATGTGATTTGTTTGAATTTTTTGTTCCTTCCAATTTTACTTAATTATAACAATAATCTCCCATTAAATCTGTTGCTAAACAAAACATTCCTTTCAATAACCAAAATTCAACCAAAATAAAGATACAATATTTTATGAACATGTAAAACAAAGGAAATCCTGATCCTAAAAATTTCATCTCTATAGGATCACAATCATATTATAAATCCATCCTTTCTACTGAATATCCACAACAAGGACATGTTGTTTGATCTTCAACTTCCAATTCTTAAGCAACTCTCCTTGCTTTTGCATGTTTCTCAGCTAATTACCAATCACAAGGAATTGCTAAAGGATTATAATGATTTGATTAATGAGATTTATGATGTAGTTTTGTAACATTTTTTTCACTTTTACTTGGTTAATGTTCTGATAAAGCCTTACTAGGGACTTATGAATCATGCTATTAAAAAGAATTTTAAATGAAACGACTAGCCATTTCAAAAATAAAAATATTAATAGTATATATTTTACTACATTTAATTAGTATTATATTCTATATAATACTAATTTATAAGTGATTTTCACATTCTTTAAACATTTAATTAAATAATATTCTATAATGAATCGTCTTTTCGGTACTTCTAAATAAGAACCACCAAAATAATAACCACCACCTCCTCAAAATCCCCAATAACCTAAGGTTATAGACTTATCAGAACAATAAAAAAGAGTAAAATTCACTTATTAATGAAGTCTGAAGCTAAAGTTAAAGAATTGACTGAATAAATCTAAGAATTAGATAAATAAATATGTGAACAATATTAAAAAGCAAAAACCTCTAAGGGAGTATAACAAACTACAGCTAAATCAAGAGCAGTAATGCTTCTCAAAAGAAAGAAGATGTATCTACTTTACTTAAGATTAGGTTGGAACAATAATTAGGATAAATGCTAAATAATTAAATGACCTTAGATTAAATGGCTTTTACTAAAGAGAACATTTAAAACACAATAGAAATGGTAATTTATTCATTTTTATGAAAGGCTCAAGCTATGTAATAAGTTGTAGCTGTTTAGAAAGATGCATTCAAAGAAATCGATATCGACAAATTAGATGGTATAGTGTTTAATTAATATCAATAGATCTCATGGATGATATGGAGGATATGAAGTTTGAAACAGACTACATGAACGAAATGATGAATAGAAATTATTCATGTGATATTGATGAAAGTGAATTAGATAGAGAAATGGCAGAAATCGAAAATGACATGAATCTCAATTCATTTTAGCCTTAATAATAGTAACAATAAGGTTCTTATTAAGTATTTCATTTAAATTATAATGTAGAGCTAAACAGGTTAAAAACAACTTTATAATACTTAAACCAATTGATTGCAAGTATATATATATTCATATAATATAAAATTCTTATAATCAATCAATTAAATTAATTATACTATGTTTGTTAACTTTTTTACTATATTTATCTATTAATTATAATGAATATATGAAATTACAAAATTATTTTATTTTATTAAAATTTTAGATTAGAATAATCTAATTAATTTTGTAAATTTATAACACATATATACATAAACTCATTTTTCTTCATTCTATTTAAAAATTAATGGTAAAATCAAGTTTTCTTCTCTTTTTTTTGATTAATTTTAACAATTATTTCTTCCTCCTTATGAAATTTCATTATAGTATTGTTCCTTTGATGTTGTTTCTAAATCTGAAAATGGAATAGTTATTTGTAGATTATCTTAAACCATCCCTAATACCCATTTATTCTTTTGTAAATCTTGTAATTTTATTCTACTTTCATGATTTGGATTTAATAACTCTCTTATCAAAGTTATTAACTCAAAACTCACTTGTCTAGGAAATTTGATTATCCCTTAACTTATCAATAAGAATGTCTCTGCATTATCTTTCCCATTAAAAGGATACTCTCCAAAAATTAAATAATATAAAATAACTCCTAAAGCCCAAATGTCCAAACAAAAGTTTATTTTTTTTAGTTTACCTGATAATATTTCAGGTGCTATGTATAGTATTGTTCCAACATTCAAAGGTTCATCAAATGGAACACCAGTACCTGATAAATATGCTAAACCAAAATCTATAATTTTAATCTACCTTAAATATTTAAATAGTTACTTAAAATTTAGTATTATTAATAAAAAGTATATTATCTAATTTGAGATCTCTATGGATTACATTGTTTTTATGCATATAAGATAATGCATCTAAAATCTAATTGAATAAATATCTGGCTAATTTTTCATTTAATGGACCATTTTCTGTTATAAATAACAATAAATACCTAAAACAAAATCTAATAAAGATCCTCCTTTTAAATATTCCATTTCTAAAACTGCTTCTGATTTTTCAGGAAATAATTTATATCCATATAAATTTATAATATTTTTATGCTTTAATTATTCTAAAATCACAGCTTCTCTTGCTATATATAAATATTAATTCTTTTATTCTTCACTAATAAATTTAATTATTTTTTCTTCATTAGTAACTTTATGTTGAAGAAGCATAATTGTTGCTTAACCTCCTTTACATATGAGTGTCTTAGGAATGTGCTCAAAAAGTATATATTTACTATCAAGCTTTTTACCATTAGTCGTAATGAATATCTTACCATTATATTTCAAATACTGTAAATCTTCCTCATAAATCTCTTAGCATTTATGATCAAAAAGTCTAACCTTTGATGACGATTTTGTTCCACCAACTAACTTAATTAATTTATTAAGGGAGGAAGCTTGAGAAAAAGTGACATGTATAGGATTTTATTATTGTTAGTATATAGTTAAGTGACAATCGTTGAAGAGTGAAGGGAAAGAGTTGTTTGTTAAATAATTTTTCATTGCGTAATTAAATAAAAATAATCATTTATTTTAAATTTTAATTCATTTAAATATAATAAATATTATGTTAATTTCAATATAATAGTAATTATCAACTAATTTTTGTTTCTTTTATTCTCAGTAAATAATTCATTTAATTAATTTATATTATAATGATGATCTAAATGAAAATTCGAATTCAACAATTTACTAAATTAATCTATTTCCTTTTTAACATATTTTCAATATAATAAAATTGAATGATTGATAATTATTAAAATCAAAAATGTTATTGTAATTATCCAAATTTATAATTTTTAGAAGAATACAATCAACATTTAATCCAAAATTTATATAATTATGAAACTGGATTGTTAATGAATGTGATTTTGAAATATTAAGTATTAACACAATCAAATAAATTAACAAATTAAAATTTTAGAAAATTAAATATGATTGAATTTATTGATGCAATTTGACCCCTATATAATATTAAATCTCCATTATAAATAATGAGAAACATATAAAAATTGGTATATTCTTGCTTAATTAATACTGTAATGTCTATTCAAAATAAAAATTATATTACCTTAGATCTATTAGATGAAAAATATAATTAGTAAATATAAATGATTTATAGATGTCTTTCTATAAAAATAGAAAATTAATAAATATTTACAAATCAATTATAATTATATGATTTGCTGGTGAATCTGATTATTTATATATATAGTTATAAAAATAAAATTAAGGACTGCTTTTAAAAAACAAATTATTCTTAATAATCTAATGATAACTATTTTTAATAAACTTGTAAATCTAATCATTTAAAATGTTAAGCATGATTTATAAATATAAGTAGAATTAATTTATAATTGAATATAGGTCTATAAAAATTAAATATTTATTTACTTTTTTTTGTTTAATTTTATAATTTTATTTTCTTGTTTGATAGTATATTATTATATATTTATTATATTTAGAATCATTTTAAGATTGAATTATGATATGCAATAATTAATAAAGATATTAACATTAATCTTTAGGTTTTTAAAAAATAATATTTATTAAATTAACTTTAATATATATGTATTTGACATTTATTTTATATTTGGTTCTAGTAATAAAGTATTTTGTGCATATTTATTATATTTAATTAAAAATGCAAAGTCATGTAAATTTATAGAAATACGAATCTTATGAATTGTAAAAACCAAGCATTACAATTTTTGAGTAATCAACTTAGATGAATATTTTAACTGATGAATAAATTGATGAATCTGATTCAGAACCTGAGAAGACCATTTAAGAAACTTAAAATTAAAATCTCTTACTTTCTAAATAGTACATTTACTTTCACAAATAGAAATAGCCAACATAACAATACAATATTTGAGGATGAAAATGAAGAAGGTGTATGGGAAGAGAATGCAAAGGAAGTAAATGCTCCAAAGCCATTTTTAATGTCGATTAACTTCTAGAACATAAGTCTGTATAGATTTCCTACTTTAGAATAAGAGAAGGTATTTGATGTTATTACTATTGTTAAGAATTTAAGGGCTGAAATAAACAATATAGAAATAAATAATAATGTAATTTATTATTAGATAGAAACCAAATCATCTTAATTAGGGTACACTGTAAAAGTGAAGAGAAGATATAATGATTTCAAATTTTTGTTAAGGGAATTAACAATTAGATTCCCTTAACTTTTATTACCTTATCTACCAATAGGTATTGGAGTGGGAAAACTTAACAATCGAAGTGTAGAAGAAAGAAAGAGATTATTATAGAATGTTATAAATATTATAACAATGCATTAAGAATTAATACTTTCAAGTTCAGTCAGAAATGTAATATCTAATTGATCTATTAGTTTTTTGAAGAAGGGGATCAATAGGAATTTGAGAATAAAAGAAAATAAGGTTAATTTAATATGAAAGGAGGATTGGCATAAAATCTATAAACAGTAATAGATAAAAGTATAAAATCGATTGGATAATTAAAGAATTGGTGGAATGGTACTAATTAAAACAAGAAATGTGAAGAATTGGAATAAATATAATTAGAATTACTAAAATTATAAAATTAATAAGCCAAGTATTAGAAACTACTTTCATACATATAAGCATTATAAAAAAAGTAACAAAAAATAAAGGATTTAATTGCATAATAAGATAGTTAAAAAACATAATTATTAATTGAGACAAAACTTCATGATTGCATATTAGATTATGCAAAAAATTTAGATTTTTAAACTAATACTTTAGAAGATAAGTTTGTAATTAATATTCTTATATAAATTTAGGATTAATATTATCAATAATAAATTTGGTAATTAATGAATGTAATTGAATTTATTGATTATGCTGATATATATTTTAAACAATTAGTAAAATACATTGAAGATCTTAATGAATAATTAACATAGGTTGCACCTAATTAATAAACGTATAAAAATTAATTTATTTTATTAGTCATTAAACAATCAAAGATGAGATTAATAAATATTTAAGTAAAGCTAAAGATTAATTTTGTAATAAAAAGGATGGTATAATATCAAGATATATTGGAATTTAATAAAAAGGATTTACTGATTATTACATAAGTTAATAATAGGAGATTTGGAATTATGCTTAGGAAATGAAAAATTCATTTAATTGATATGACTTTTGATTTTTATTAAATTAAATAATGAAATCGCTTAAAACAAATAGGACATCAAATAATTAATGTATTATTGGTGAAGTTGGGTATTACAAATAATGTTCTCGTTTTCTTCCTTTGGAAAGAGCTGATGAATTCTCAACTTAGGATGCTATCATATATGACAGACTAAGATAAGCGGGTATGAAAAGAAATAAAGCTTTATAATTTTGTAAAACATAACACTGTAAAATTGATTCAACTTAAGCAAAACATGGACCTCCTGGGTTTAAGATATTCAACACAAAAATTGATAAATTTAAACAATAAAATGGGTAAAAATGAAATAAATAAGAGTAGTTGGTAAATGATAGGAAGATTGAATTATAAATAATTTATGCGAGAAGAATTAAGTGATGATACATAATGGTAAATATAAGATTAAAATAAAGAAGAGCAATAAAAAATGGAATAATTAAAATAATTTTATACTGATTTAGATGTAAAATATTCATTTAATGAAATGGATTAATAAGAAACTTTATCTAAATTACGCTCACTTTCAACTGAACAATAATATAGAAGTCGAGTTCCTTAATATTAATTAAAAGATGGTAAAAATTAAATGTTATATTATGAAATGGCTGAATATATTTTACAATTGAAAAAACCACCTAATACACTTATATAAAAATTAAATGTTTTTGATAATACTATTCCTTTAGTCAGACAAGAATATTTTGACATTAAACCTAAGTACATAGAAAAAGCAACTCCTATTTATAATAAATTAAATTGTGAAAAGAGATCTAAATTATTAAAAGAATTAACTAGAGCATATACTGGTAACATTACCATTACAGAACCTACTGAAGAGATTAAAAAGGTATCTTAATATTTATAATTTTGGCTATTAGATTCTCCTATAAATTAGATTATAATAATAGCCATTATGTAAAAGGTTTTAAATAATAATAATCACCAAATGAAACAGTTTTATAAAGTTTAAATGATATCGACTAAAAAAGTACTAAAATGATAAAGTAAAGATGTAGTATAATGACACATCGAATAACTAAATTTTCGCCATAAGATTAAGAACTAATCAAATATAATTAATTTCGTAATAAATTAGAGGATATTGTAAACAAAAGTATTAAAAGAATGAATTGTGAAACTAATAATCCTATATTTTGATATAAATATATTCTTCAAAATATTATTATAAAATAATTAATAATATAAGAATAAATAAGATAATTCAAAGTTTATATAATTATAATTAAGATAAATAATAATCAAAGTTCTAGTTTTAAGTAATTTTTAAGCTATTCAATTTATACTGGTTTAACTAAATATCCATCCATTCCATTTTAAATTGCTAAATTTTCTTCTTCTTATTTGGCATAAGCTGAACATCCTATAATTTGAATATTTGGATATTATTTTTTTATAATAGATGTAGCTTAGATGCCATTCATTGTAGGCATATCTATGTCCATAAATATTGAATCATAACCATTACAATTATTACATCTATTAGATTTTACCATTTAAATAGCAGTATGACCATCTAAAGAGTATTCTAATTTAAGAGATGAATTTATCTTTAAAATTAAGAATTTAAGAACTTCTATATTAAATGCATTGTCATCAACAATTAATATATTAGCACATTAACATTTATTTATATGTTATGATTTAATATTATTGTATCTCCATAAGGATTATCTTCTTTCTGGACTTTCTTCATCAATATCTTCTGATTCTTCCTAAATTTCTGATTCTGAAATATTTTTAGATATATAAAACCAAAAAGATGATCCATTTTAATATTCTGATTAAAATTATAATCCTTTTTCATTAAAATTTAAATTTCTAGCAATCATATTACTAATAATTAATCCTAATCCTACACCTTAAGGATTCAACTTTTTACTTTCTTAATCTTCTACTTTAGCAAAAGATTATATGAGTCTTTCTTTATGTTCTTCCTTTATACCTAATCCTGTATCATGAATTTCTATTTTTAAAGAACTAGTATGATAATTTGAAACATTAATTTCTATATAACCTTACAAAGTATATTTAAAAGCATTTCCAAGAAGATTAATTATTATTTATCTAATTCTATTAGGATCATTATTCACGAATCTTGGAATACTTTTTCGATAATTTAAAGATAAATTAATTTTTTTTAAATTAGCTTCCAAATTAAATAATTCCATACATTCTTCAATCAATTTCTTTAGATCCATTTATATAGGATTAATTGAAAATTTACCTACTTTTAATTATGCAAAATCTAATAAATCATTTGATAAATTGAGTAAATATTTACAATTTAATAATGAAATTTTGATGTACTTACTTTA